TACTATCCTTCCTATCTCTGAAGTTGGGATCAGGAGGAGAAGATAGTGAGTGAACACTAGGAGGCGGGGGCTCTGTGAAGGCCTCAAACCAGCTACTGAGAGAAGCAGCCGGACAGGAGCGGCAGGGCCATGTGGAGGGATGGTTTGCAGAGAAGTGGCTGGTCTGTCTGGGGTGGAGCTCTGTGGTGTGGCTTTACTTAGAGCTTGGAAGTAAGTCATGAACAGTAAGAGAGAGGATGCACTGCTTACTTTGGACCAGAAATTTCAAGGAGAACTTTGGTTTGGCCCAACTCTAGAAACAGACTGAAATAGATGAGAAACACTTGAGCTAGGAAGGGGTCGGGTCTGTGTGACTGGACGGAAGGATTCAGATCCAAAGTGGCTCTGAGATGCTCTTCTTTGGGTAAAGCTGGATGCGGCTACTTTGCCAAGGGAACACCTGTGCCCTGGTTTGCAATGCCCTTTGTACCGAACAGGGGGTTACGTGCTGAGAGGTGTTCAGTGGTTCCCAGCATTCCTACCCCTGGCCTGGGCTTATGCTCCGGACATCCTGCCCCCAGGGGCAGCCAAGGAGCCAAGAAGCGGGAACTTTTCTTGAGACGCCACCTCCAAGGAGAGCTTTCCCTGGGTCAGCCCCAGGGGCCAGATCTTCCCAGCCTGACCAAGGAAACGTTCACCTTCCTTTCTCTTTCTGTGAACCCGCCACCTTCCCATCCATCTTCTGGACAATGATGCCTCCTAATGGGAACCAGTAATGCCTCACAGAATGTTTAAGTGAGGACACCTGCATTTTCAAATATAATTCACATTTCCCTTCTTTGTGCTTAACTCTGCCACCCGTTCGGTGCTGTTTGCCAGTTTCTGATGAAGCCAAATGCAACAGCACATGACCAGTCATGGTTTCATAATGCTAGTATTTTAAGATGACTATATGTGCATGTACCAAACCATCACACAGGACACATGAAATATATTACAGTCTTACTTGTTGATTATACCTCAACAAAGCCAAAAGAAATTAATTTTTAAAAGATGGTTCTAAATGACGTAAATAAAAAACAGATGCACAAGAGGCCTGAATGAACGGAGATGTGCCAAATGATGGTAATGACTGGGTTGAGCTAGTGTCGTTTTTTTCTAAATGTTTTAAAGTATAATTTGTATTTCTTTCTTAGGGATTTGTATTTATCATAAGTATATTTTATACTTATTATAAATAAATTTTATATTTATCATATGTATATTTTTAAGTAGGTAATAATTAAAGTTGGAAAATACAGAAAGAGAAACAAGAAAAACAAAAAGCACCCATAGTTCCACCACTCAGACATACCTACTGTTGACATTTTGGTGTGCTTCTGATCTTTTTTTTTAAATCATAGAGTTTATGTGTTTTTTAAAAATTATAATCATTCTGTGTAATTCTTTTATCACTTACCATTACTTTAGTAATGATTCTATTGCTTTTATGGTACTGAAAATCACCCTTTAGACAAAGCTGTTTCTAAGAAAGCTTGATGCATCAAGATCCTAGAAATCTGACCCTAAAATATTTTTTAATACTCTTATTTGTGTATGTGCATGCACGTAGAGGCCTCTTCAAAAGCCAGTTAAGGGAACAGGTGAAAACAGTAAGAAGAAAATAATTCTAGAATTTCTCATGCAACGTCAGATGAGCCCAAAGAGGGAGGTGATAGGAAGTTGTACAATGGGAGGTACCAGCAGGGCTCGGCCGAGTGCCAGCGCCACCTAGTGGTCATGGTCAATTCTAAGTTCTTTTTTTTTTAAACTTTTTTACTGATTTATAATCGTTTTACAATGTTGTGTCAAATTCCAGTGTAGAGCACAATTTTTCAGTTATACATGAACACATATATAGTCATTGTCACATTTTCTTCTCTGTGAGCTACCATAAGATCTTGTGTATATTTCCCTGTGCTGTACAGTATAATCTTGTTTATCTATTCTACAATTTTGAAATCCCGTCTACCCCTTCCCACCCTCCGCCCCCTTGGCAACCACAAGTTTGTATCCTATGTCTATGAGTCTATTTCTGTTTTGTATTTATGCTTTTTTATTTTGTTTTTGTCTTTTAGATTCCACATATGAGCGATCTCATATGGTATTTTTCTCT